CCTCCATTCTTTCAGTGTTTTCATATATTCAATGTAGTTGGCTGGATCGGCATATTTACCCATTTTTTTTCCACCAAGGTTTAGGTGAGAAGGACTCAATGTCAGGAACGTTGGTCCTAGCAGACCTGACCACAGACTGAAAGGCACTTTGAATTGATGATAAATCATAAGGAAGATCAACTTTAGACAGACGGTCCATAAGGAAGGTGCGTGAAATGAAATTTTCTATTTTCTTAACGGAATTGTTACAACTGTGGAATAAAATGGGGGAGCGCTGACTTTTGCCAATGGAAACAGTAAACGTGTTCCAGTTGAAAGATAAAAGAGTTGAATTCGAGAAAGACGCTTCTCGCCGTGCGACCGCTCCGGTTACAGTGAAAGGTAGTATTGCCATTATTTAAAACACTGAAACTGCTAGAATTGATAGCATTTACAAGGATCTTGCCTTTGTTGGTAGAGACTTGATCGCCATACAGGCGATGTCTTGCATTGAAATCTCCAGTTAGAATCATATTTTGTTCACCGTCAAGAAAGTCGCACAATCTCTGAATCTCATCACGAAAGGTTTGCACATCGAGACTGGGTGGAAAGTAGCACGATGCTATGAAAAGATTCGGTTTCAGGTTCATGGTTTTGATGATGATAATGTCAACAGCAGAGTTATAGGGAATACGTTTGAAATTGACACCTTTCTTAACTAATATACTAACGCCACCATACCCATTATTTCGCCATTTGGTGGCTGAGGAATAATTCGAAACTTTAACTTCGAAACAATTTTCATCTTTCAGAAAAACTTCACTTAAGATGCAGCAATCAATCTTGTTTGAGTTTAAGTAAAAATCCAGAAAAGATAGGTTCCGTCGGGCACTTTGAATATTATATTGTAAAAAGGATATCATGTTAAAACTTGAAATGGCACAGACAGACATTTTTTCTTCAAATTCTTTAATAACATTATGAGGAATCATCGGACGAATACTTTCTTGAATCGCGAGAATTAATCTTTCAAGTTCTGAGGACCGCCAAAGGTTGTTTGAAATTATCGGTCGCCGTAGACTTGTTCCAGACGACTTTGGGGGTGTATTGGGAGAAGGCTTGGTGGGTGAACTGAGAGGAAATTTGGAAGGAACCGATTTCCTTTATATATTTTTGGTTAAGATTTTGTTGGCGTTTTGATTATTATCCTTAGTCGAAATTGCAGACGTGTTCCTCAGCGGAGGGAAATTGTCGTCATGAGTGATGTCATCGAGACATTCGAAATAATTTGTGGAAAAATTCTCTTTTACCTCTTTATACGAAAGATTTTTAATTGATATGATCCTGTTGATATTTGATTCAAGTTCCCTGTTAGGGCAACACTTATTGCGAGTGTTGTGCTCACCTGAACCACAGGACAAGCACTTCATCGTCTCGCAGTTCACACACTTCAGAGACTTCCCACAGTTAAGGCACCTGTTCTCTTTGGCTTTGCAGAATTTTGACACGTGACCCTGTCTACCGCACTTAAAGCACTGCTTTAAAGTGGGTACAAAGTACTCAACAGATAACAATAGTTAAATTTTATTGACTTAGGGAGGGCTCTCCTTTTGAAGCCAATTTTGATGCTGGTTGTGGGAATCCACTCATCTTTGTTGTTGGGATTTCTTCTTTGAAAACGGACAGCGGACTTAATCGGAATATCGGATATGGCGTTTTTAATTATATCATCGACACTATATGTGCATGGGATTTTTCGAATGACTCTAAATCTCTCAGTGAAAGACCTCGGTATGTACGCCTTTAAATTGTTTTTAGTAAATTCATTATTCGTAACAGAATTGTTGGCATTGGCAGCAGAGCTGAAAAGCAGTTTGGCTCTGCCCTTGCTGACAACTTTTAATTCTTTTAAGCCGTACATATTGAAATCCTTCAAGTAATCATAAAAATGGAGAATGCAGTTAATATTGATGCGATTTCCTTCTGTGTCTGCGCACGTTTCGACAAAAACGACGAAATTTCAGTTCGAAAGGCAATCGTACATATTAATCTCGAGATTTGGGGCGGCTGTGGCATCTCAATCAGAGGGCTTGTCAAGAGCCTGTTTACTAGGCGCAATTAAGAAGTTTGCGTTAGCTTCTTCGTTAGCAGATGAAAGAGTATTATTCTCACCCATTCTCGATCTCTTGGTGAGCCCAGTGGCGTTCATGTAAAAATCTTCAAAACAGTCTCTATCAGTAGTTATAAGATCGGACTCAGTCTCCATAGGAATACGGCCTCATGTTGTTTTGGTTGTTATCACGGGGAGCACAAAAAAAAAAAAAAATCACAACGAAAAAACAAAAAATTGAATATATGTATTGCTTCTTAATTTTTCTCTCACGAGAGATTCCTCTTCCTTCCCCCTTTTTCTTCCTTTAAGATTGTTTTCTTTCTTCAAACGCTTACTCTCAGATGTTTGATATTTTTTTGAATTATTTTCAGGTGTTTGAAATTTTTTTTGAATTACTCTCAGATGTTTGAAATCTTTTTCCAAATTCAGGTGACTATTTCTTTTACAACAAAATAAAACAATAAGAAGAAGAAACAATAAGAATGTGCGAAGAATGGAGAGAGCACAGAGTTGCTTGTGCTAAATAAGAAAAATAGTCAAAAAGTGGCAACGCATTTGTCATCAACTCTGTTGAATGGCACAGCAGTCGGGGAGAAATCTGTTAAATTGCAGAGCCGTCGGCAACAAATCTTTCAAATTAAAGCAATGTAAAAAGCTTTACTAAAATGGCAAATCTAGGCAAACAAATTGCCAATTTGACAAAAAACAATAGTAACAGTAGTAAAATAAAGCATATATATTTAAATAAGCATATTTTTGTTTTTATTTGTTTTTTTAACTTTATTGAAAATGTTTGTTTACTATAAAAACAAGAATAAAAATACGATATTAAAAATTTCAACAGTTACTGCAGTCAATTATTGCGTGACGTCGTTACGGAATAGATTTTTATGATGAATCGATGCCTTCATCCATGTGCCTATTTTCTCTAGTGACTTATGAAAGACAACGTTTGGCCTCTTCAATAGGGGGACTTTCGTCTAGAATGCATTCTAAACGCACTTCACCCACCAGGAAAGTAGGCGAACATTCTAAATTCTAAATATTATTAACTGACAGAATTTTATCTCTTTAGTGATCTCTGAGATCCTGTTTTCATTTCCTTTGAAGTACCTTTTGCCATTGCCATTTTCCCTTCTACAACTCTCAAAAGTGCTTCTACTTTTGTAGCGTTACGCATTTCTTATTTACAAATGTAGAATCAGTAATTATTAATCAGCGAATGAAAACTTCTTTGTTTTAAAATTTTTAAGAATATATTGATCTTATAGTAATTGAAAAATTTTTATTTATGACTTATATGTATATATTTGCAACTCTATTATACTTATTTCATTTGTGAACTCATATCAATTTTTTAATTTCTTTCCCTTTTTACGGTGTTATTTCAACTATTATATAACTATTTAAGTATAAAAACTCCTAAAAACTTTTATATTACTTGTCCAATCTATCAGATAATTATGAAAACAGAAATTTGTTGCTAAATTGTAGCGAAAAGAACTAATAAATAGTGCAAGGGCTGCCACAGTTAATATCTTTGTTCAACTCGCTCGTTTATTAGGCCGCACCTAATTGAAGCGCAAAACACAATGCTTGCGTTATGAGCCGTGCGTGTTAAGTTGATTGTGCGTATTTACGCGTAGTCAAACATGTAGCTTGTGTTGCATTGCGCGTTAATAAGAATTTTTGACGACTTTTAAAATTTGTGCATGCTTTGTTTTTAACAAGCAAAACGCAACACATCTATTAGCGTATTTATAAGAACAAAACTAAAGCATACGATTTTATATGCTACAACGAACAAGAAGAAAAACTAGCTAAAATTAAAAGTTAAACTAAATACGCTGCAAAAAGGAAAAAATTGCCTTTTCGTCATAAATGAATATTACCTTTCGTTATTCTTTTTAAAAATATCGCAGCCTATATATAAGATATAATTAATTAAAAATATTATATTATTTAGTAAAGCGTGAACTCGGTGTAATGTGTAATTAGGAGTAATTGAAACCGTCCTCTGCTTGCAAAAAATATCTTTTTTCCATTTTTGGGTTTTGCTTTAAGAAAATTATATTTCAAAGTAATTTTTCGTTGTATTAATTCACAGTTTAGAAACACTTTGTTTTATGGAAAACTCTTTTTTTTAATTTTTTTTCCTTTCTCACTATCATCGTACCTCAAAGATTAATTTGAATAAAATTTTTTACTCTCCAAAGAACGATTAAGAAGATGGCAACGTCGTTTTCGCAGTGGTGCTGTAAAAGAGGAACAAATTGGGGACTTTTTTTGACGGCCTTGCAAATTAGCATAGAGTTTTACGTTGGTTCTGCAAATTAGCATAGAATTTAACGATGGCTTTGCAAATAGCAGAGATTTAACGTTGGCTATGCTGCCTACTTTTAGGTGTAATCATTAAGGTTGCATAAGCCAATGATCTGAAAATTACAAAAACATGTGTTATCCAAATTACCAGAAAAAGTTATTAAAACGCATCCACAAATCCCAATAAATAATAATAAAACCAGATTTACTATAAAACCAATTTTTGGTATAAAAACATTTTTAAACAAATTAATAAAGCATGCTTAATGAAGATCGCTTTATTGGAAAGCTTATCGAAGTTAGCCGTATTTTTATAACAATGAACAGAATTGAATGAAAAAAATTGGTATGAATATTTTATGAAGTATCGTAAATTATTTTTTTTGCAGCTGGTAACACTAACATTTATTGCGATTGTAATTAAAAGAAGTTGATTTTTCTACCGAAAATAATTTGTAAATTGATTTAGTTGCGTTTTTAAGAATATTTTCTTGCAGATTTTATTATTAGTGTTTAGAAGCCAGAGTAAGTAAATAATGGTATGCGAAATATATTAGCAAGAACGACTTAACAAGGATGAGCAACAAGTATCTATGAGAATTTTGCTATGAATCACGCCAATTCTTAAAATGAGCGGGCGAGCAGGGGGAGGGAAATATCTTATCCATTCAGAAGCAGCGATTTACATACACAGTTAAGAGTACAACAAATTATTAACAACATAACAATGAATTTAGATAAGTTATCAATATTCCAATGCAACAGTCACTGAAGTCTGAATTCCGCTTAGTTAAAAAAGAAGGGAAGAAATCCGGAACAGGTGAGCAATTCCTTCCTTATCACAACAATAGTAATATGGAAACTGTTAAAACTACAAAAAACCTTTTTGGGTAGAAGTGGCTGTTATGTGCATTTCATTAAATGTGAACAGTGTAAGCGTGAATGGAGGAGTAAGAATTTGTGCTATTAACAAGTGCGAAATTCTGTAATGCCGAATTGAACGAAAAATAGTTAAAAAAGGTATTCGTTTAAAGTCCAAAAATTTGCTTAAAATTTCAAAACTTTTGATATTAAAATTCGATAATAGTTTGCAGATTAAAGGTTTTATTTGATATCATTTCTAAGATTGCAAAATTTCATACTGAACATGGATGCAAATACACAAAATATGGAAAGTTTGCAAAATGTCTGAACATGGTTGTTTTATTTAGTTATTTATTTATCAAACACACGGTCTGTTTGTACCGCTAGCTACACCACCCATCCAAGAAATTAGTTATGTAGAAATCAAGAAGCACATGACAAGCGCCTGCCAGCATTCACTCAGCATATCCAGGTGGTAATCATACATGATTGTGAAAACAATCCATAACTTTAAGGCGAAGAACATTATTAGATTAAGAGAAAACCCCGAGTTCATACGGCAAGCAGTTCCAGCAGTGAGCCACTCTTACCACAAATTAGTTTTCATTTTCTATTGTTTAATCAAGAAGAATAGCAAATCTGTTACCATCATTGACTTATGGTCCTAAAAACCAAAATTAGCAATATTACATAACTTCAAGTAACTAGGTATTGTCAGGCATCGAGTTTATTTCACATTCTGACAGAAGCGAATAGACTCATTGTTAATCATTAATTGACACGGCTTAATTTTTCCTGTGTATTTTATAGAACATTTTCTTCTTTCCAAATAATTGAATTGAAAAGAATTATCATTGTTTATTCCAGGCTTTAGAAGGTGTATTGATTGGGATACCATTTAGTAAATTCAACAAATATGGATAATCAAAATGACTTTCCTGCACCCTCCAATTCTAGTGTAGGAAGTAATGAGTAAGTAAAATATTAAGCATATCATAATCTCGCTTTAGGAAAACTTAGAATTAATAGCCATTAAGAAAATTGAATAATATAGCATACAGTTTTCCAATTTTACCCCCGCCACCGTCCGCTTCATCACCTCCGTTCCTTAGAGAAAATAATCAACCAAATTTAGCGCAGAAGCGGTTACAGCAAACGCAGGCAAAAGTTGACGAGGTCGTTGGAATCATGCGAGTAAATGTAGAGAAGGTATTGGAGCGCGATCAAAAATTATCTGAGTTAGGAGACCGTGCCGACGCTTTGGAGCAAGGCGCCTCTCAATTCGAGCAACAAGCCGGTAAATTAAAACGTAAGCAGTGGTGGGCCAATATGAAGATGATGATTATTATGGGTGTGATCGGTGTAGTGCTGCTTATCGTAATCATAGGTAAATAATATGAATTTGAAGTCAAGGGCTTTGAAATCTGTGTAAAATATTAATCTGATATAAATTGAAAATATGTGTAGGGGTCTGGCGAAATAAGTATGAAACTGCAGAATCAACAAGTAGAATCAAAAATATTTCTAAAAAAATTTCTACTGTTATGCTTCATCTTTTTATTTGTTAGTTTTAAGTTTTTTAATTGACAGATTTTAGCTTTCAGGTTTTATTTCTTTAATTCTCGAATCTTCCATAATATAGCTGATTTTCGTGGAGTATCACCATATCGTACCGCTGTTGTAGTCGCAAAAAACTCCTCTGAAATCTAAAACTAACGTCGCTTAAAAAAGCATAAACTGAAAATTTTTTACAGTCGTGATCTTCGAAACTCAATTCTCTGCAGTGTTCTGGACCAAATATAACTTGTTATTGCAGAATCGGAAACAAGTAATACACATGTATGAAACACATATATTCCCGATCAGCATGAGACCGTAGAGGAATGAGTTTGCCTACCTTTCTTTTTCTCTATAGAAGGAAACTTATCGTAAATTTGAGCAAAAAGTGAAGCCTGATAATAAGTCGTAGTTATAAGTCGTAGTTCAATACATATGAATGGGTTCTCGTGACCTTTGGGTCCTACGAATTGACAATGAAATTAATTTCGATGTTCTGAAGGTTCAGTATCCTTCGAATATGTAAAGTTCGAGACGGAACGGGGCCTTACGAAGTATGAGACTCGTAGCGAACGATTGCCATTCGTTCTCTGCAAGTGGAGCTTTCACTTACGCAAAAATTGATACGAGAATCTTACATACATGCGTCTTCAGTCAACCATCATATCCCACCATTATAAATTAAGTTTAAATGTAAGCATAAAACATCGTAAATGAGTATAAAATAATTTAGTCTCTCTCTCAGTCCCTGTCCCTCTCTGTAAAGAAACGTAAATCCCCAAAAATTGATATCAGTAACTAGCAAATTATGGGAGATATCGGTCTAAAAGTTTGGCATAAATATTAAGAAGAATATTCAGTAGTTTATCTTGATGCTTATAGGAATATTTTTCAGCCACTGGGTATCAGTAGATAGTTTCAAGCTGACTAAAAGTTTCTTACGTGTCTCCCTTTCGTAAGAATTGGGACTTTTTATATGAAAAACGCTTATGCTTTAAGTTAAGTTTTATACACTTAAAGGAGAAACAATTAATTGCTTTGATCTTCAATCTTTCTTTTATTTGATTACAGTGTCTTTTATGCCTTCGGGAAGCAGCTCCGACCATAAGGAAAATCTTCAACTACCCGCGGATAATTCTAATTAAAATCCGCTTAAATAATGAATGAAGGATTCATTATTTCTAAAACATCTAAAACTGTTCAAATCTTCTTCTTATCGTACTTTGGGAATGGAGAAAATATAGACACAGCTATAACCGAACATGGCAAAATTAGCATTTTTCACGTATGAACATTTAAGTATAAGTATTATGTGGGCAAAACACCGTAACTTCAATTATCAATAATTTACTCAGCAGGAAAATTGGAAAACTAAGAGATGTTGGAAATCGTTCAAACTTTGAAATGTAAAGCACAAAAAAAAACTAATTTTTTTTTTTTATGACCTAAATGTACTATCCACCGAAAGCGCCTTTTAAAACACAATTTTCAACTATTTTTATAGCAAATATGCGATATATTAAAATAACGTTTTGAAGTATTTACTGTATATTGAAATTTAAAACTCACTGAATAAACGTTACGTAATGAGAATATGTGTTTTTTTAGTATAACATTTCAAATCCTTCCATTATTGCAACACGTTGTTTATAGCAAATTTTCAATTTTTATATCATCAACATTATCGTACTTAATCAGAAGTAAAGTAATAATTAAAAGTAATACAAATTTTTGATATATTAGTAGAGCTGAACGCATACAATCTGCTAAGGTCATTCTCTTGTAGTGCAAGCTGTTAATTTTTCGAGCATGACACGATAAACTCTTGATAAATAAATATGAAAAAAATTTTAAATTATCGCAATTACAAAGAAAAACAGCAAAAAAGAAAGAAAAACTCCAACTTACAAATAAAATGATTGGATAAAAGAAAGTCGCAAATGCATTGAGCGGCGTAAATTCAATATCAATCCATAGTAAGTTTGTTATTAAAAAGTAAATACCAAAAAAGCATATCGAGATCCAAAGTGCTAAGTACATAAGGAAAATGATAGTATTGTCCTTTAAATAGAGTAATTTATAATTAATTAAGAGATTCGGTAATCTTATTATTATTATTATTATTATTGAGAATGCTTACCGTGGTCATGTAACCCCCGACAGATGAAAATGTGTACATAATTATTATAAGAAGCGTTATGCTAAGCATAATATCTCTATTGTCGGCCGGGACAATAATGCAGGCTGCGCCAACAATATTGAGTTGAACCTTGTAAAAGTGAGATGTGACCAAAGATCATTTAAATATATATTCAGGTACTTGAATTAATTTTTTTTATTTTGACCTTTATATCATTTTATATGGCATTGCCGCTAACATTATTTTATCGGAAATTTTAAAATTTTGCAAGGAACGTTGAACGTTGTGTTGCCATATTGGGATTGTTTCAAGTGTTTGGAAAATGATGGCTTTGAAAGTAAAACACTAGGCTTGAAAGAAATTGAGAATCCAAAAAATGCTAGGGATGTTGGAGAAATGTTAATGAAAAAAATGTGAAAAGTGTAATTGCAAATATAAACAGTGTCCAAAGGAACAAGAGTGTGTATTAAACTTGAGGGAAGTACGGGTACCGTAGTAATTAATGTCGAAAATAATGCAACTGATGGGAAATATTGGTCGACCACGAGCATTTTGTGCGCAATATATAGAATATATATATATATATATATATATGCTTTAAGCTCGACTTAAGTTTGCTAAGTCAGATTCAAAGCGATCGGTCAGATCAGTCGCATATTTTGAGTCTGCTAAAACAATTAACGAGCTCATCATGTGCGGCTTAGGTAACGATTGCTATTGAGTTGGCCAAAATGACGATGACGGGCCTGAAGAGAAGAAGAATAGTATATACTAAACAAAAATGTAAGAGAAAATCTTTCATTTTAACTATTCAGATAGACGACTACCGGTTTTCTTGCTGGAATGGAAATGTTTTTTCAACCTTGATTCAATTATTGATTCATAGATGAGAGCGCACAGGAAAAGACAAGGTGTTGAAAGATGAGTGCGAATATTTGCATCAGACGTAGTCAGCGTCAGATGATAAATTTTGTATCGTTAAAAAAGCGATGGAAATTAATTCAAGCATTTTCTTTTTACCAATGTTAGAGCGAGTGTAAATTGAAGCACAGTCCCCAACCAGTTAGTCCTTTCATCTATAAAATAATTAATTAGAACATATATCGCAGAAGCCAATATAATAAAAACGCTTAAAGGTTCATCGCCAAGAACACTGTCTAACAAATCGCTAAGGTATTACAAAAAAAGACGAGAATGAATCTGTAAATGATTTTGAGTCAAGAGATAGTGAACTTACTAGCGTTTAATAAATAGCCATTGAATTATTGATATAGAACAGAAGGTCAATACTACCGCATAGATCCAGGTGGCAAATACGCAAACACTGTACGGAGTAATATCGTTACTGACTTTAGCCATTTAAAATGTATTTCTTTTGTAGTTTTTTTAGTCTGGTTTTTAAAAGAAAATTTATTTATTATTTTCTTTTGCTGACATTTTGCAAAGTGACATAAGCTCAAAATTTTGAATTTTTTCATTTACATTTTACGATTATTAATCGGGTTTTATCTGACTGAGTATTCAGAAACCAAATTGATGTTTGGCTTTAATATGTCCGCCTTGTTCTATTTGTCGAAGGGAACGTTTTCGAATGATGAAATTTTTTGCCTAACATTTATCACTTTCTGTTTTTAATTGAGCAATTTGACAAGTGCATGTGCAATACAAAATACAGGGGCAGAAGTGTAATTTAGCGAAATTCCGCGCGCAAGCAATGGAAGAATCTGAAGAAGGAACATTTCGTAAAAAATTTTTACTATTTCTGAAGTCACATTTGTTGGCTGCTGCCTTTGGGCTGATAACATTACTTCAATGGCTTTATATACTCAATTGGTAAGCGTAACAAAATGCAATAACTGCTGGAAAGTAAACTGTTTCTCGAAGGGAACCTTGGGAATTCGCCACCAATCCTATTGTCAACGTGTGCTGTATTTCAATTTCAATTTTGATTTGGATCATTTATTCCATATCGCTCTATTTATTATTAGCTATACCACCGTTTGTTGAATGGATATTCATTCTTCTCTTAGTAAGTATAAAATTTCATACCGCTGGTATCGCATTGTATTTCGTGCGTTTTTCAAGGTAGAATGCTTAACACTATCTCCACTGGCCGTCGTGATTAGGAGCAGTGGTCTAGGCTTTGCAATATGTTTAAGTGCAGCTGTAGCAACTTTAGCAACTTTTTCATTTGTGGGTCTTGGCCTATCAAAGGTAAAGATTTTCTCACCGTGTTGTTATATCTAAATGTTTTTATATCCGATTATATATATGTATATATAGTAGCATTTCGGAACGAAATTTACAATTGTAATCGACATTGGGAGGGTGATGGCTATGGGTCTCTTTATAATTACAATTGTTGTGGCACTTCTTCTCAGGACCTTAACAGCCATTTACATTTGTGTTACGGTGGCTTACTTTACGATAGTAATGGTATATCCATAATAATGTAACGGTATATATATATATACATATATATATATATATACATATATATATATATATATACTCCTGAGCAATTCTAAATTTAGTTTTAATTTAATCTTATCTAATTCAGTTTATCATGTACAATGGAACTGTCCTGGAAACTGAACGTATTATAAGCTTTACATCCGTTGCAAGCCTTGCTTTAATCATTTACTGTGAGACGTACATTTTGTCTATTATAAGCTTATATGTTTGTTGGATCACGGATCGGTATAATTAAAATCCAAAGCAACCATTAGTGCCGTTAGTTAGCTTCCGTGCATATAATAATAAAATTGTGTTTGCTCCACTTTTTTATCTAAATAAGGCTTAGTTTCATTCTCAACGCCAAGCGTTAGGAGAAAATGCATATGAATCGGGTAACGATCCCATCAAATTTATTAAGCGATCTTAACTTATTAATAGAGATCTTAACTGTGCTCAATCGATAAGTGTTACGCCTCAATCGACTGAGCACTCATTGTAGCTGTGACAAAAGAAAAAAGATTTGAACCTGCGGACTTGGTAATCGCGGTTCTTATCTACTCGGCTACTCAGGCGCGAATGTTGAGTGGCGATTTTAATGGGAGCATTGTTGGATAAGGATGACAATGATTCGCAGATCGATTAAATATGGCACGAAAAGCCATCTTAATGCGTTTATATAGCTTTGGGGAAGGTAGGAAAATGGGTGCCAAATACGCTTAATGTAATACAGCAGGAAAACTGAACCATTACTTATGAAATGGTGCGCATTAGGTACGAACGGAACTCATTTCCCCATCGGGTTGTGATTGGCAATAAAGAAAATGTATATTTTGAGAATGCTAAGTGTAAGCGTATAGTAATGATTATCTCCAACCGAACCATCGTCGTCGACTGCAAGGCCAAATCGCATTATAAACCAATTTAGCAACAATAATAATATTGATGATAATAAAAATATCGACGATAATACGGGACTTTTCCATTGACAGCATATAACTAATAAATCAGCTGCGGCATATCAACATATCTGGAATCCAATTAATCCAATCTTTAATGCCAATCGAATGTTAAGAACCCGTAAATAAATAATAATAAACGATCTCTTTTTGTATATGAATATCAGTTATTTGAATATCGGAAATCTTAGTAGCTTATAATCATGATTTTGCAATCATATCCTAAAAGACAGATTTTTTAATTTCATGTTATTTTTTAATAACCTACTGACAGCCTTTTCTTAATTTCTCTATAGGATATGTTAAGAGTATGCCTTTGAAATGCTTCAAAAACGCAGTAAAGGACGCAGTAGCTCTTCAAAGTTGGTCCCAGCTATCAATGTAGTCACTAACAAACCGCGCTACCGACGCCATTTTCTTCTTGACATCCGTCAAAAATTTTCAATTCACAACAAATCAAATTTCATATGATAGCGTAGTTTGTAATAGTGTTGGACGTGCCGAATTTTGGACCAGAATATTGCGATTTGCCGACGAACATTGATAGTCTGCTGCAGAATCGAATCGAATGTTTGTCGAAACTTGGGATGCGTTTGCACGGAAACCAGAAGGGTTTGGAGAAAGCTGTTGTGACTTCTACACGGGACAGTACAGTGGATTATGTATGGTTTCATCGAAATGTTCTTAGTTTATAGGTTTTTTTTGTAACTTTGATTAATACATCGAATTACGCATCGAAAAAAGCATTATTTGCTTAAAGCCTTGACTTTTCCCTTTTCATTCCAAGCCAAATGTTGACGAATCGTGATGAGTGATGAGCAGTTGATTTGCTGTGAGGGTGTCAAACTCAAAAACTCATAGTGCAGCACAGCTAAACTATTAATATCGATTGCACAACTAAATATTCATTGAATCATTGTGCGGCCCATTGTTGATGGCCCAAATTACCTTTTAGGACGAGTGTAGTAGATTGCATGTGTTACATACATATTTTAAAATAAGATAATAAAACGTTACAAGCACTGAACGGGAACAAATTACTTCACTCACTCTGATGCTGCCTTTCATTACCCTTCACGCTGACTCGGCGCCGCCATTGTTAAGGCGATACCAAAAAAGCAACTCGTTCGCGTATAATCACAAAGGAAAAACGATCCTTGCAAGGCCGAATTTATATGGCAATACGGAGATGGGAAAAAGCACTACTTAACGACCAAAAATGCTTTAAGTTGCGCTGTTTTTATACCCTATAAACGGGTATGTTAAGTTTCATGGATATATGTCGTGCCCACAAGGATTTGAGAGAGCCATCTATCGCATCATTATACTGACCACTTTCTGTATCAATCTAATCTAGCCTGCGATTTTCTTCATATAGTATTGTAGTACGTGACCAATCGTTTGACCGCTCGGTGTCAATCTCTTTAACAAGGTGTCGATTTCTTTACTTTCTTGTAACAGTCCGCACATCGATATTCGATATTCGATTAAATTTTCTACGGTTAACTCATTTGACACCGAAATATCGAAATTCTGATATGTGCTGATCTTTCTCAAATTTTTTTTTTAGAAATTTTATCGAATTTAGAAAACAATCGTCGACCTGACATTGCAGCATTGTTTCGACATCGACATTTTCAAAGCACGAACAACCAAATCTTTCGTACGTTGCTAGCTTCGATAAACCATTTAAGTTACTTTTAATCAAAGTAACAAAGCATCCAATTTTTTTTAATTATATGCGGACTGACTCTTTTCACACGCGCTATACGGCGTGTGAGGCGATAGTGTCAGCATTGCCAAAATTATGCGACGTTAAAGTCGTTAATTTAGGAAAGCGTCACGAAAAGTTTTCTTTACACCTATTAGATACACTTGAAAAACAATTTCATTCAAGACAAACCCATCCAAATGTATAGATTACACATACCCACTAAAGCATAGTCCATTACATGTGAAATGTTTTCAACTTTTTCGCGATTTTAACAATTATTGTGGATTTATATCATTTATTGATATAATCGATACTGCAACAATGGCATTAGCGGAAGACCATCCTAACCATTTCTTCACTTTTCATCGCATCTTCCAGAAGCATGTATTTTTTCGTTAATTTTTGATATCGCGCTTCCGTTGTTGAGTACGGCATCATCGAAGATCAGGAGTTTCTCGTTTTGATTCGAAATATTCCGGCAAAGTGTATTCAAATAATTCAGGTTGTTATTTATGCAATATCCGTTTTTAGGACAGTATGCGGTGTACTAGATAGATGTTCATTTTTATTTCGATATTTATGTATTGTTAGGTTACACTATATGTTGCATATATTGGTACCTATCATCCGCAGGTGTTTACAATTATTTTCTTGCAACATCTTTTTTCGTGTTTGAAGTCGGGTCTGCAATTCTTCTTGTTTCTGGATCATGTACTCGTGAGTAATCGTCGTATGATTGGTTCAAATCTTGAAGGCTTCTTGTTGAAGTTATTCGTAGCGCTATCCGTTTCAGCGCCATTTGAAGTAACTCTTATGAGACAGCAGGACAAGGTAAACAAAAAGGACTAGAATCAGTGGCCAAGGAAAGGAAAAGGAAGGAAATGTGAGAACACCATCATACAATTTTTCAAGATTAGTTAAAAGAGTCCTTAAATAAAGGACTTTTGCTTTTATTCATTAGATTGCCTTTGTTGAGATTATCACATCATCCACGGTTATAGACGCTCTGACAATGAAAAGGAAAGGGAGCAAAAAGATGAATTCGCAGTTTTTTAAAACGTGTAGCTGATAATAGAGATTATTTTATTGATCTACGAGCTCGTCATTATTTGGAAAGAAAGGATGAGAATGGTGCAACAGCATTTATACATCTATCGCTCGTTTTGAGGTCTTGTCTTGAGAATGCTTTAAATTTAAAATTCAACACTTTAAGTGTTCAAAACTCACCAAGCCACCATGAAAAAGAACAAGAACATTTCGATAATACAAGTAATGAATGGAAATAATGAGAATTTTTGTGCGTTAGTAGAGACCTCTATGAGAGAGTTGCAAGTCACAAGCGTTGCGGTTATCCCTGTTAGGGAACAATTGAGTACCTAACGACTAACTGAGTAACTGAATTCACTTCATAATGTTTCTCGATCATGTCTCTGCGATATGGTACTGCAAAGTGTGAGTAATGCCGAGCGCATGTTTAGGAACCTTCTAGTTTAGGAAATTTTCCAAAAGGACAGTAGAAGAAATTGGTCACGCTATCAGCTCATCACTCCTGTAGAACTAAATTTCAAATGATTAATGTAACTCTTTTCAATCACTTGAAATTCGGTTATGGGATATAACGGGAATCGACATTATGTTAACGTAAAGCTTATGTCAGTTTATTTGATTTGAATAAAATTTAAATTTTTTAAAGTTTTTTATAAAAATACCAACAATAAAAAAAACAAAACAATAAGAAAAATGGAGGAAATGGATATTACGCAACAACGCGCCATTCTTATGCGCAAGATTAGAAGGCGCTTTATGATTAAGGCGTATCTCTTATTTATTGCTTTTATTTTGTACAGTGTGCTTCAATGGGTTTTGGTGTTAACTTTGTAAGTTCTTTTCATCTTTTGAATTCGGTTAAGCTTACCACGGACCACGAAATAAAGCCATTATTTCATTCAGTCCCGCTATCGGAAATTTCCTCGTCAGTCATGAGGAGCTAAGTATTGGAGGACTTTTCATGTCTCTAATCCTTATGACCGTATTTGTGTTCGTTGAAGGCATAAGGATTGCTATACCACTTAACTGGCTATTGACGTTTATAATTGTAAGTTATCTTGTGTTAATCTCACCTATAGTGAGTGAGGTTGTAATACATTTTGTAAATTTACTCTAATGCAGCTTGAAGCCGTTGTAATTGGCACGTCGCGCCTATTGGTGATGACATGTTATGGAGTGATGCTTGCTTCTTTGATTTTTGTTTTCGTGCCTATGATAATTTGTATTGTTGTAGGCTCACTGATTAAGGTTCGTATTGTACGCGTATTAATTGAAATTGTGAACATTTTCAGCTTTTGATTTTAGCACGATTTCACACTGGACGTAATTATATTATTCGTTTTATCGTTTGTATTCTTTGTTGGTGCTGTCTATTTTGTGACATTCTATGTAATTGCTCACGTGAAGCTAGCGTTCTATCTTTACGCGGCCTTAGTTTACATTATAGTTTGCATTGTGAGTTACTGGGAAACGTTTGCTCTTCTATTAAATTCATTTGGATCGTTTCATTTTAGTTTATCATGTATCATGCTCAAACGATTAACGGGAATCGTTATGCCGAAATGCGTACAACAGATTACTTACTGGCTGCTTTAATACTTTTTGTCGACTTTCTTGTCTTGTATATGGTGATAACGCATGTTATGTTAATTGCGTGGGAGGGTATCACGAAATCGCCTTGTACCCGCACTGGTCGTAAAGACGGCCCTGTTGCGAATCCAACCCCGCCGGTTGTCGCCTCAACCGAAGCTGAGGATGATGATTATTAATTTCCATTCTTAGCTTATAGTTGGAATGAAACTAAAGGACAATTCGTTTTATTTTTTATTTTTTTGCTTTAACGAAGCACATTAATATATGTATATATATTTAATTGTTTATACATAAGCGATATGCAATAAAAAACAACGATACAATATCGATACACGAATGTTTGTTTTTGTAAAAGAACAAAGAGTTAGCACGATAACTTCAACGATACATAGATTGTAACTTCCTTTTTTTTACATATATATATAAGCCGTTTATTTAAAAAAGTCAAGTCCGCATATTTTTGTGATTAATACTTTTTGTTTACTCTGTAGTGAGACAAAGAAAGAAAGAGAGAGATGAGAGAGAAAACAAAAATTTGAAAAAGTAAGCAAAGTTGAATGAAGGTTGCGTCGGTCCCTGGTATTATCCGATTGTCCTTTGGATATGAAGAAGACTTTTGAAGAAGAAGTTTTTTTTTCGTGATGTTTTGGAAAGGAAAAGAAGGCTGTATGAAGCCGAATTATCCAGTGCCATACGAGTAGAGTTATGAAGAAAATTAGCTTAGTTTAGTTTATTATTTATTAATAATAACAATTATTAATGACATTGCGTATATTTTTACGCAATAATACTCTTATAATTAACATTAACAGGCCAATGATACTATAAAGTTCTTGCGGCAAAGTTATGTGAACGACGGTTAACTACAGATATATACAGTAACTATATAGAACAGTATTGGATCGAGGCATAGATACGGACGTAATTATAAATCATAGAAATCCTTACTGGCGACTTTAAACGCTTTTCGTTTTAATATGGAATGGTTCCCTAACTTTATAGCCTTAACAAAGAATAGCTTTGATGATCACAACTTATGATCAGAGAAGATTAAATTAGTTGTTCATTCAGGTTTAGCAACCTGAGCAATTTTCTTTCGTAGGAAGATCCTGTTGTTCGACTGCGGATCATCTTATGAAGAAAGCTGACATTTCTGGCGTCAATATACGCGGGAAGATCAGAATTGAAAGTCTTGAACGAAAAGTACGATTTTGTTTTATATTTAGGTTTATTGAAAACATATCTAGCGCATTTAAACAACAGCCCGGAACTAATTGCCGGAAAGTATACCTAAGCTGCCATATAGATTCGCAACATAAGATATAATTAACGCGTTTCTTTAACCGGTGTAGGAAGATCGATCATCGGTTCTTAGAAAAGCATTCTGCTTTAGCTTTTCGCTTTGATCTCGACTTTCCCTTTAATTGCCCACTAGTTGCTGTTTATATTGCTCATTGAAGCTTACTTTGCTTGCCAGTTGTTTTATTAGGTGAATTAGTTTGTGAATAAAGGTATGGCTGCTTCCAAAGTTTCTCATATATAACAAAAAATCTTAAATTGAAAAAATAAGATAGGGATGTAAACAAACGATGGCTTGTTGTTCTCTTTTTTATATAAACGGCTTACGGTGCATACATCGTGGCTATTGAACGCAAAATTAAAACTCAAGACATACATGTAGGCGTTAAATGTAATAAAATTATTGCTTACACAGCAGCTTTTAAATTTTGTGGTATTAACCACGAAATTTTTTGAAAAGAATAGTTTAATTAAAACGTTATGTTGAATTTAGATATGTGATCTTCCCTGCTTCGCTAAGAGATCGAATAAATTGTATTATTGCAGGTGGAGAGAGGCATTCTGGAAGACTTTTCGATGAAGCAGCCTTCCCCTTTTTGAAGCGTTGATCGTGATTTAACGGATTAACATTGATATTCGTATTCTCCACATACGTTTCCGGTTGGCTTAATATTGATGCTGGTGGCAATGGTGGTGGGTATTCATCATTAGGTGATGGTGAATTCAGAACATTCTCAGTAAAATACACATCATTATTTGAAGGGTTGTTCGAATAGAGATAACGTTTACCGGGATATAATAAGGAAAGTTCTTGGTTTCCATTTTCGATTTCTTGGCCGTTAAGGTGACCTTTCGCCTCAGTTTGCGTATCATATTCTTCGGAAGGTATTGGCGGTAACATGAACGATTTGTTTGCGATGCGTCGGCGAATTTTTGTTGGCGAATATTTTTGATTTGCAAGTTTAACAAAGCTTGGTGGAGGTGCATTGTTTTTCGCCAGTATTCCCTTTACTACAAAAATATTTTTAAAGACTATGATAAAAAAAGGCAATCACTACAATTAAAAATCATTAATTATATCGAGTAATGAGATCAAAATACTCTTATAAAAGCGATCAAGCTTCCACTAGTTTAGCTTACGTGCAATCAACTGGCGAGTACACTACCTCTGATTCATACCTTCCCCAGTTTCGTCATCCTCGTGGATATCATCACAATTCTCCCTTTTGTTGCTTGCGATTTTCTGTTCTTTGCTATTTTCAGGGCTTGAATCAATAAAAGTTTGCAAAACCACATCCATATGAGAATCCAAAGAGAACTGTTTACCGGACATTAATATCCCACGAACCCTTCTCCGCATAGATGGCGATTCTTGTCGCTATTAATAGGAAAATGATTTTGAGTTATAAATTTTTCTGTAAAATGCAAAACTAACCGTAATTCTAACGCCAGCGTACGTTTGCGTCGAAATTTCTTTGGTATCGAATATCGCAGCAAAGGAACCATTTATTATTTTGGGCGATAGCGGGGAGTTGGATAACAACAAACTGGAGCCGAAAGGACTGGATTTTTCTTTGGTATCTATAAAATATTATTAAAAATTATTATAATATTAATATATATAGAGTATCGAGGATACAAACGAAATGATTCCAATATATACTCAAAACTTCGTCTTGTGGGATGGAGTTGAAATGGCTAAATTGCTTACTATATGCACTGTATAATTATTAAATTTAAATTTTAGTTATATCTTACATAACTTGTGATATGGGATTTATTAAGTTTGATATCCTTTGCACAATGCCGGTCAGTTTCTGCAATCGATTCATTGTCACTCAAGCAAGCCTGTCCGTCTGCCTTGTCGTCTAATGTCGTTCCATGTATTTTTTGTGCTCAACATACACGTCACAATTTCTGAAACATTTTGGCGGTACACTGACGGCGCACTGATGTGTCTTGGTAACATAACATCCTCGGGAAAATGGTGGTGCTCCGCTTTATTTGACGATCACATGCGTACCATATAACTAACATCTCATTTAAAATAAGCTGACTTATGGAAAAAATTTGTCACTTTCAAGATTGCTCAACGAGAAAAGTTCGTTGTAGCCGTATTTTAGAATACTAAATCGAAAAATCTGAATCGCGCAGTCGAATTTTGTAAGCCCCTTCTATACAATCGTTGCTTCGAAAAGCAAACCTTCATACGGCAACATGTCCAATTCTATAGTGAAAGTCGGTGAAGGGTAGCAATTTGACATTTATTTTAATGGCGCTTATTTTGAACAATGAAACATAACGAACGTTTCTAAATGAATAAATTCTTAACTTTCACATTTGGTCAAGAAAAACGATTTCTTGACGAAAAAAAGATATTTAGTCAATTTGGTCCAGGTCGGTTTAGGTTTAGGGTATCATACTCTCACACGCCACAAGAGTTGTAGAATATAAAAATCATAAAAATTTATAAATCGGTTAGAAAATTCATTAATCATCTATTAAGCAAGACAAAAAAGCAAATTTATTATAGTCATACCGGCTCACCGGAAGACAGCCTATACCATGTTTTGGAAGTAATACACCAAAAATTACACATCATTTTCATGCAAAACCATACTTCTCATAAAAGCCGACATATTGAACGATGCCCAGACATTACATGACGTGATCCAAATTTATCAAATTTAATTAACTTGCCAAAAATTTTATTTTTTTCCCAATTTCTGTCAAAAAAAAAAAAACAGGAAAATACGCTTCACATAAGAGTTTACTTTTTATGATAATTTCTATATATGTTAAGGTTTAAAAAATAGACCTATATGATCCATATTAACAAACGTTAATTCTTTTGCTAAATTGTTCATATAAAAACTTAACAAATTTTATATGGGATGGGGTTCATATAAGGGTTTACATATCCTTCCTTATAGGCGGTGGTGTTTAAAAAGTTGACGTACTTCGTTCAAATTCGGTAGGCTTGATTTTTTTGTCAATTTACTAAAAATTGAAAATTATACCTTGGGCCAAATAAAATTCTGACCTGTAGGTCGAACACAAAAATATATGGACATGTGCCAGATATGAGACGGAAAGATGGACAGACAATTTTACAATCATTTCCTGAGTTGATCTCTATAATAAAAGGTGAGTTTTTCTTAATCTCTTCTGGCTGCTACGTGCGTCCTAAGAAACTTAATATACACTGTACCGCAACTGGCGTAGGGGATAATTAATTTTTATTTTTTTATTTTATTATTATATTTTTTTTTAGGATTTTTTTTTTTCACGACTTTTTAAGGTACGTCCAAATTTACTTTATGTCGCATATATATTTTATACGACTTTTTGGCATTTTTTTCCTGATGAACACATTCCCTGTGTAAAAAAAGAGTTGCGTGCATTTGTAAATAATTTTAAACTACGTCGCTTATAGTACAAGGTATAGTAATTTTGCACGATTGCACTTGAGATGGATTCGCCTTTCATTATACCGAAGGAATAACTTTTTTGATCTCTTGCTAAGTAACTCCGTATTTTAAGAAGTCATTATGCCAGTAACTGTGTTAAGTGAAGATGTGAATGCGCCTTTCTGCACATACGTACTTAAGCCTTTTGAAGTAATACCCTATGAACTATATATTCAGATGATCTGTTTTCGTGAAGCAGTTGCTTGCTGTAAATACGGACCTTCATCACTGCGATATATTCTCCATTACTCGCATTTTTACTACTCCTATGCTTGGGAAAATTATCAAAAGTTCGACCGAGTTATTTTGCAAGATTAAGGGGTTACCGACTACTTGATGCAATTTTGGAGAGAAACCATCTGTTTTCTGACCACTTTTAACTTATTTGCCAACTAATTTGACAATTTTCGAATATCGGTGTAAAGTATCTGTAACATTCCTTCCTTATAGACTTTAAATCATTAATGACAATATTTTGAAATTATCCGATTTCAGATTCTTCCACTTCGATGGATTACGCCCGCTGAGCATTGGACGCGGACGGATATAGTTAAATGAATTCATAGCCTCGCTTTCTTCCAATGTGCATATATGTACAATGGGATAACCGATACTTAAGGTCAGCTTACTTACTTTTCTTACTTGTTTTTTGTTTGTTATTTAGGATTTTTTTACTTACTTTTTAAATAAACTCGATCCGAAATGTTAATTTTCATTTCAGTTAAAAGTGTTGTAGCGACATCTTTTATTTCTTTCCAATCACGTGTAATATCATTGATTGTAGTGCGAGAAGAAGTTACTGTAAACCGTATAACATACTTTCCTTTTAGGGAAGACGGTATACAATGAAGATTTCCTCGGTTATTTAAACGTTTTAGCAAATGTTCAGTAACTTCGTTGTCACTTTTTATGCGAAAAACTACCAAACCTGATAATAAAATAAAATTTAAGAAAATTAAAGCTCGTGTTACAAAGATAGAGCATAAAAACCTAGATGCCTTTTGGCAGGAATTTCGAAGCGGTGATCTGCCGCAACCAAAGCTTCGAACTTTTGAGCTAATCGGACACCCTCTCTTATGTGCTGTTGGAGTCCTTTGATTCCAAAAGAACGCAATACAAACCATATTTTGAGTGCCCGAAAACGGCGACTGAGCGGTATTTGCCAATGCATAAAATCTACTGCTACGCCAGAATTTTCATGCTGGAGATATAAAGGCTCAACATTAAATGTGCGATGAACTGTTGTAACGTCTTTAATCCTAAACATTTAATTTTTTTGCCGATATTTAATAGTGCACAGTTAACTAAGCTTCAACATTATAATTACCACATTGCTGTTGCGTCGAAATGAATCATTAACCATTTAGAGGGATTAAATGCAAAAGAATCAGCCCGCTCTATGCCTTTCAGCCAGGTACGAAATTCTGGGCAAATGAACGCACTTCCCGCGTAAGCTGCATCCACATGTAACCATAAGTCGAACTCACTGCTTACAATACCAACTTCTTCCAAATTGTCGAATGAACATGATCCAGTCGTGCCTAACGTAGCACAAATCTGGAATGTGCGTGCGATAAAGGAAAGTTATCAAGTAAGAGAGGGAGGCAGAGTCATGGAGGCAGCGAAATTTTTAACGCCAAGAAAGAAAGGCGTCTTTCCTAATTCCAATTTCTGGTTTATGACATAGTCATCCCTTACTAAGCCTACTACATTATGTTAAAGTGCGTGACAGACCGCAGATAATTAATTTATTTTTGATGAGTTGGAGAAAATTAGGAGAGTATGGCTGCCAAGTCTTGATGAATCTACTTGGACCTGGAGGGTCCGCACGTTGTCTCGTCTGACTACGGTTTTTTTAGGTCTCTGTAGAACTTTTTTTCGGAAAAAAAAAAGTTGGCTTCTAAATGCACTTATGAAAATTCCTTGCTTCAGTTTGGCGCCCAAAAATTCCATTGAGGGCATAATGGCTGAGAAGCAATTGAGCACGTGGTTACATATTTGCTTTACTAATATGAATTTAAAATTCAAGGAAAATATATTTGAGTTTTGGTAAAAGAACGCCAGGAAGTTTTCCCATAATTTGCAAGTTTATAGAAACCTTCAAAGAGTATTTAGTTAGCAAACTCATTGGATTGGCGAATAAGAAATGTCGGTCTTTTTCTCTTGTAGTTGAAACCGACGAAACCGATATGTAACAACATGAGACGGCGAACTAGCACTAAGTGCTCTTTCAAAAATGAGGCAGGCAAGAGATACGTTGTGATATTCACTTTCTTCCTTAGCTGATACATATTAGCTGCAGGGGAAGTCAAGCGAAAGAAAGGGATTATATGATGTAATCTATTAAAATAGGTTGTATTAACTTGGCGGGGAAGCAACTATGGGAATCCTTTTAACTGGGATTTTGCATGTAGGAAGTACAGAAATTAAGAAAGAGAGGGGAAATTACAGAGTTCGCAGAGATTGGTAAAATGTATTGTATTAGGCTCCCAAACCACAATTACTGTTTTATAATTGTTACGTAATCAAGACCATGTCCCACTGAGAGAAAGAAATTCCCTTAAATATTTTCGGAAATATCTTTCTGGATAAAATTTTGTTCATTATTAATATAAAAAAAAGTTATTAAACCTTTAGAGACGGAAACATATTAAGAAGTTCATTGCTGACTTCTACGTGCGTTGACTGAATAATCCAGATCGGATTTCACTTGTGGTTTTACGTCACGGCCACATTCAGTCATTCGTTGTGAAAAGCTCCCAAGGGATTTAATTTGTATTTAACGTTCATAAGCGTGAGCCCTAATGGGGTATTCTTGTGCCATACTTGTTGCAGCTCATGAGCGCTCAAATTGCCATTCAGTGAATATAATCAGTATTTAAATTAAAAGTTTTATATTTTGAAAAAATATAAACTTTAAGAACATATTTCATACTCAATATACGAGCTAACGTTTTCCTCCGCATCTTCTTACTAAATTAGCTATCTGTTAATAACTTGGCTTTTAATATAAATATTTATTTTGAGAATCTTTGCTTATTCAGCTTTACTGCTGTCAATAATCACTATTTTTCTGCAACCGAAACTTACCCAAAATGGTATTAAGCCCAAGCGCATGTCATCTTTTATAGCTTCACGCAAAGTTGGACCACGCATTGACAAGTTTTCGTCCGCTTCAATAAAACGCATTCTCACTAAGCCTGTTTTATATATAAATATAAAATAAACTTATTAATAAATAAATAAATAAAAAAGCTATAGCGTGACACTGCCGATTATTAAATAATACCTTACATCACATCCAGTCACATAACGATTTTTAAAGAAAAATGTGTTATATAAGAGCGATCGTCTTTGAAATAAAACATGTCAGTGTACGGTAACGTCATCAATGTATTTCAAAAATTGTAACCTGTAGGTTGAAAACAAGGAAACAAGACAGACAGACAAACAAACAAATTTAGAATCATTTTCTGAATCGATCGTTATAATAAAAGTTGGATCTATCTCTAATTCTTGTAGGTGTTGCGTACATCAGAACTAATTAACCATTGTGTGATGAAGGGTATAGAAAAAAGCATATGTTATAATAGGAAGAATAGAGGGTTGTCACCTATGAGAGCAGCTTTCTCTACACTGGAATGAGCTTGATCCGAACAATAAGCTACCAGACGAGCATTGATTTCAGCATCTTGATAGCCCGTGTATTTCTCATGGAAGCGACGAATTGCTTTCGTCCGACCCGCCAATAGGGAAACCAATGTAGCTTCGCTGGCAGTTGTTTGAACCACACCTCCACCTCTACTCGTGTTGTTAAGATTAAGAAAATCATCTGGTAAACCAATCATTTTCCCGAGCCAATTCATGACAATGATTTCCAGTTCGGTGCAAGCTGGCGAACTGGCCCACGTAAACCCCAAGCAGTTAATAGCATCAGCCAACATATCGCCCAATAGTGAAGGAAATGAATTGAGAGCCGGGAAATAAGCATGCATATGAGGACTTTGCCAATGCGTGATACCAGGCATTACAACACGTTCAACATCGTTAAAAATATCATCCCACGATTCGCCCTCTACCGGCGCAGAATCCGGCAGAAGAGTTTGCATATAACCTGGTTTTACATCAGGATACACTCTACGCTCTCTTATATTTTCTAGGTAGTCCGCAATATAATCAATCATTTCCTTACCTAGGAAGAGGAGAGAATAATCAAAGGAATGTTAACGTTGAGCATACATCTACTATGTACTTTTCAATCCATTGCTAGGAATATAGTGAAATATTTAAGGCAAGCTTAGTGTACTAGATCAACTGAAATGTTGCGCGTGCAATATTAGTAAAATCAGAAAGAATCATAGTTTATAATCTATTGGTTCATAACATTGACATATGGAATATGAATGCGTTGAGTATTGAAGTCTATCTGTGAATTAATTGTACAACCGCACCCATTTAATACAAATAGATACTATTGGATAGAGCTTTTTCTAAAACTCTACAGAAGTGGCTCTGAAACGATTTAGCTTTATTGCGCTGCCTTCCGTCCGCCCTTTTGTTTGTTACCTGCCCGGTCCGGCTATTAAAGGTTAGGTAGAAAAAGTTTCGCGGCATATGATTTTGTTAAAGGAGCTCTTGAAAGTCAATTCATTTGAAGAGTTAAAGAGTCCCCGGGACTTAAGAGAAAATACATTCTCTTTTTATATTCGGATGTGCTACGTAATTGTTTCTCTTTTCAACATTGGACTACTGGTATCGTAACGTAAACTTTCCACATCATTTTCTATTTAATGCCTACAGATGGTCTTGAAAATACAACTCATAGCCTAAAGCGTACAGGGATTTTCCGCTGCAATATTTAGTATGGCTACAAATTTCAAAGCGAAAAGATACTAGGTGGGCCAACAGGTGTGCCCACAATTATAAAAAAAAATAGTTTAAAATTTTTTTACCCTAAATGTTAAAAATTTGCCTCAAGGCCAGTGCGGTTTTTATCTACTTCTATTGTCTACAAACTCATTTTATTCTTTGTGTTCCACGAAGTTTTCAGTTATCACGATGGACGTGTCTCTTGGGGAAGTGCGAAGCTCACTTTCGACTTTTAGTGATATTCAACGATAACTTTGAAATTGCCTTTATATGTTTAAATATAAATGCTAACGAATGGTATCTATCTCATAATCGTATGATATCTGCAGGGGTCTGTATGTAGGTGAGAGTGCACAGATAAAAGGGCAATACTTTCTGCACGTTGTAATAAAGTAAAGAGTAAAAGCATTTCACTGATTGTAATAAAAATAGAGTAAATTATAGTTTGTAAGCTTACAAAAATCTACATTATTCACATTCGCAGAGCTAAATCTGTTAGATGGAAAGTTTGCTAACAAATAACTCGAACACTATATGCATTGCTTTGAATTATTATTGTTTTTCGTTTAGAATGGAATGTGTGTGTGTGTTTACGTAATGATATGATATTTTATGCAGTAGCGTGCTGTGAACATTATGAATCAAGTTTAATTTAAAAAATTCACTTAATTTGCCCAACAAATATATTACGATGGACATATGATAGTTACTTGCCTAATAAGATTAAAACTGCAAAGCTGAAGGCTAAAAGCTGAAAGCTGAACGCTGAATGGTGAAGACAATACTTACCCCTCCGACGGTATTCGGCAAAATCCATGATATCTATTTTATTACTTCGTTTGCTTGCGCGCGTATGTACAATTTTTAGCCTCTTAACGATGCGCCCTTAATGATGCTTGCTTCACATTGAGATTTAAGTCTTTCTTGTGTGCACGCGTTGTTTTGTTCGCGTAATGCCTAATTGATTTGATCAAAATATTTTCTGTTCACTGTAGGCGTAACGCGAAGAGAAAATAATTTTATTTAGCTTAAGTCGAATTATAATATCCGTCGTTGAGAGCGCTTTTTAATCTATTTTTCACACGCGTACTAGAGAAAGAATAAAAATTAGTAAATTAGTTTAAGAAATTCTTTATTTTATAAGTTTTCCTCAGTTCGTTTTCATTTTTTTTTATTTTTATTTTTTTTAATTTTACTAAGCTGAAGTAATATTTAACAATTTGCAATGAAATAAATTTTATAAAAATTAATTTTTAATATTTTGCAGATTTTCATTTGAAGAGCTTTTCCGTTTTTAAATTGTATTATTAATTGAAAAATTGTTTAGTTTCTAAGGTTTCTTGTCTTTTTGGTGCGTTTTTATGAGTAATGCCAATATTGAAAATCAAAAGCAAAAATGTTATAGCGTTAAACGGATGCTCAAATGTGAATACCGAGGCATTTAACTTACAAAATCAGCGAAAAAAAGAGAGGATGTCGTACACTGTTTTGGAACAGATGTGCGAAAAAATTGACATTTAAAAAAAAAAAAGGTTATCACGGATCTCTTTTAATTAGACTCAAACAAAAACTATTATGCTTCGAAATATTAATATTTTAGTTTGTAATCCATTGTTAATATGTTCACAGTATTTATAGACAGATTGAATTTTCTGTCAAATCTAATCTTATACGACAAGGCTTAGCTTCACGTTTCAACTTGCCAACAGAAAGAAAAATGCTCTAAGGTTTAATAGTGGACGGACGGACGCAACGGTGAATGTACAACATAGCCAGAGTTTGGCTTAAAGCGTATACTTAATGACATCCTGATAGCTCTTCCCGGTATGATAAAGCAATACAGGGTCGTATAGACCGATTTATTTTGCTCGATTGATCGATCGAGTCCATTGAATTATTACGGTTTATACCATTTGTGGTGCAAGGGAGGTATGATGACATTTTGATGAAATTTGCCACAACGACCTATTTTGCTTCAAAGATCGGGCGCTACTAAAAATGGTTCGGATCGGAAAAGTTTTTGGCCACTTCCCATATAATGCCACATTTTAAAAGCTCCGTTTCGTTATTGGAATAATTACAGAATGGTGTGTGGTGTACTTAATGATGGTCTGCGTTTTCACTTGTTATTTTTTTTTTTGTTATCAAATTTTGACTTTTCAGAAATCCCAAGCGATTGTTTTCAAAGCGTGAATGATTGACAAGATAATTTATTGGGTTTTTCTTTTATTTTTCTTGCCAAACGCGCAAAATTAGCAACATAGTAGAAACCTAGAAATCGAACAGAATGAAAACAGAAAAGTATAGCAGTTTTGCAGTTCCTTATCGCAAATCTTACATTTTGCCTCTTGAGGATACGAGTTAATGGTCATAAAGATTTAATTAAAGTCTGCGATTTGGCCCATATATCGAGCGAATCATCGGCGAAAATGGGAACGATCCCTGCACAGCCGTTCCTAAATTTGTTAAAAATTTATAAACTACGATCGACAGCAGATATTGATTTACGGCTTGGAACGAATATATTTGTCTAAGAAGGACGCAGTAGCTGTTTCACAAACATTTAAAATGAAAAACAATCTTCAAGTAAGTAGATCGGTAGTATGCCAAATAAATAAATTTAATATAATAAATAATTTTAATAGTAGTTTAATATACACGCAATAATTACAGTAAAAGTACAGTCTTCTTAGTTGCTGCGTCTACGAGATAATTTTCGTTTGGGTTTTGTTCACAAGTAAAGAATCCTGTAAAGCAGGCTTATCATAACAAATTAGAAAGGTTATTGCTTTAGTTCAAAAATTCTTGCACCTTATTTATGTAAATAGTTTATGGCCAACCATCTGACATGCTCTCATTAATATTTGTTTAATTTTGTGAGATGCCCTTAACGTTAATAATACGAGTCATCAAAAGAAAGGATGAAAATAAAAGCCGAACTTGAATTACATTGCACCACCTCGCATACATTGCACCACCCGGCATACTACCCACGGAAGTCCTTGTATTGGAGATATGAACTGACTTTATCCAAATTTAGTAAAACTTGATTTCCTTATCAATAATTTTATTAATCTTGAGCTATTTTTGTCACGACTTTATTCGACTTTGTTGCCATATAAAGGGTTATTTTTCATAAGAATCTTTATAAGGGATTAAGGTTAAAAATATATCTACGTGGTCCAACTTTGCTATGGTTAACTTTTATGTCAAATTATTGTTATGGAATAATTTTTGTTATATATTTTTTTTTAAAGTTAGACCCTTTTACTTAACTTGCTTTCCGTGAGACTATCTTACACGTCCATATGTTCGCAATAACTTAAGGTAACCTGTAGCATAAGTGATGTAGTGTATGAATATTTGAAAACTTCAAATTTTTTTATATGACGTCTTTTTAAAAATGTATGTATAAGGCGTAGTCGTAAAAATGTCAAATTTTCAATAGCAAGTAGTCCCGGCCAAAACAAGTCAATGTATCGAATTTCATTAGAATATCTTAAAAGTTTGACATCTGTAGGCTGAGGTGAAGAATACTTAGAAAAATATCAGTCAGGCAGACAGACACACAGCAAGATTCAATCGAATCAGCGAACGATTCTGCGTCGATCGACATAACAACAGATAGGGTAACGTGGACTTCTTTTGGGCGTAACACATACATTGGCGAAAATTTATTACACCCTGCACTAAAAACAATGCATTGGGGTGTTTATATAGAATTTTATGCCTTCGTTATAGCATAGGGAATGAAATAGAATGGAAGTAAGCTGATTAGAAAATTTACGATAACGCTATTGAAAATAGGGTAAAACAGCAGTAGTTAGCACCGCACCTGTAGACTACTTAAACTTTATGGCAATCATAGAATCCAGTAAGGGGTCTAATAATTGAAGATTAGTATGACGTATTGTGATTCAAAAAAATATACTTTATGGACTCCATGGCGACTATTTATAAGCTTGATAAAACCAGCTATTATAGTAATTTAGAGCCGTATAAATTTCTTTTGTGGTCAATTAATCATTCGTAATTATTTTCACTATATCAATACTAAATCAATACTTATTAATTTTGAATACCCATAGGTGTTAAGCTATTGTTTACAATGCATGAACCTGAACCTTGGTACTTACAGCATTTAGATTAACTTTGAAAACGGAAACAATCCGTGCACAGAAATCACCATAGCAGTTAATGGCTAGAGCATACGATTCACAGCAGATATTAATTTAAAATCAGGTTGATCCAAAAAGATGAAAAAGAAAATATTGTTCTCATGCCTAAAATAAATAAACACGTCAGTATTCTTAAACGTTAATTTGAAGCGAAAGCTGAAGCTTTAAATCAATTTTCATAACGCTGTTGCAGAAACCGCAAACGATGTTTATCTTCTTCAAAGATGTCAAATTCTGAATCAACCTAAACGCCTCCGTCCGACTATCTTGCCGTTAGTTTGTCTGGCTAGCCGCCTGCGCATCCGCCTGTGGCAAAAATATAGATATTGACTTCGTATTTGCCAAGCGGACTGGATATTTTTGTATGTAGGTTGCTATTGCAGCACGATAAAAATTTCCAGATGTTTTCTACAAAAATAAGAAAGTCAGCTACGCCCGCCCAAGATTATAGAGTATGAAATTTTGTTTTAGTCTTTTTAAGATAAATATTCGAGATTTTTGGGATTGAAAAGCGACTCAGGTACAGTATCGCGATTTATAATTTAAGGCGAATCGCCGTCGAGGGAATATGGATATTCACCTCTTAACGGATGCTTTTTTCAGTGAAATGCAAAAATAGATAGGGAGACCTTTCTCTAAATTACATCTGATATCTGAAATCCAATTAGAATAGAAAATTGTAAGGATACTGGTGATATAATTGCACAACATTCAACAACATCCACGACGATGTAAATCCGACTTTTTAATGAATAACAATGGGTTTTGAAATTTGCTATAGCATTCACGTCATTTTCCATCACAATGAAAACGAATGCCTCGAGTTACGTCGGCGGAAATGTTAAGAGAGATTTATAGCACGTCCAGAAATTTATACCCGGGACTTGTATTTGCAGTAAAAAGAAATCATTATTAGTTACACTGTCCCGGTACGCCTTTCAATTCAATTTCTTACATTTTTCAACTATTGTTTTGGATGTCGTAACTCGATCGATATTGAACTGAGAATACATGTGTCAAATGTCAATTTTTTCTTTAGTTTTTTATACACTGCATTTTGTTTTTATACCCACCACTGTAGTAAGAGGGTATATTCATTTTATTTATTTATTTTTGTTTCACAATATATGTAATACCTGAAAGGAAAATTCAGGCGATCAGTAAAATATATGTAATCTTGAGCAACGTGAAATTCTGAATTGATTAAGCCCTGTCTGTCCGTCTCTGTGTCTGTGCCCGTGTATTGTGTGCGTTTTTGGCACTCTCCCGGTCACAAAATTGAAGTTAGCGACTTAAAGTTTGGTAGAAACATTGTAAGCTTCTGCACGCAGGATGATCTAAATTCGTGGGAGCAGGAACGAGCGGTGGAACGTAAACTGAATGCACCGCATTTCTTTTCACAAAAATTTTTAGATTTTCTCTCGTTAGTCGGAAATTGCTCGAGGTAGAAGGCTGAAATATATGCTATGAAACAATCTACTCTTTAAGCCCACACCAATAGAACCATTCGGCCATGCCCATGCAAAATTACGAGTAATAACATATTATTTTTTTTTTCACTTTTTTGATGTTTCATGCCTTTTTATTATACGGCAAACAAGAAAGAATGTTTAAAACTCTTTTCTACCCTCCTCAAACGAAGATATGACTAAATTAATTTAATTAATTTTAAAATGAATATGGTATACAAAGCGATAAATTTTTGTTAGCAATACCCGACATATGTGTATTAAATAAAAGAATTTAGATGGTAGAATGCGAAAAGCATAGCGGTGGGTATGCCAGATTCGGTCCTCGCTGATTACTTCATAATCACACGAGCCTTTGGCTATCTTAGGATAGACTCTTACACAGATTAAATGCCCAGATAAGATCTCTGAACTTGAAAATATAAAAATATTTAGAAAAAAG